ATCCAAAACAGATCTCATTTCAAGAGTGTAGTACACCAAACTACATAAACGTGACCATATAATGAGAAAATCCTTTTTATTAACATTACAATTTGTATTACGCTCTATTTCAGAGGATGACGTATATAGTTCTCAACTCTAAAAATCATACGTGCAAGATGACATTCAAATAGCATTTTACATCTATCTCAATCTCAGAAGAAACTTTATGAAGTAAGTGAAAATTTCTCGACAGACAAAGCAAAGATTATTACTTTCAGTTACAACTGTCCATACCAGAAACAATATTTTTCCAAAGACTACCTTGATTCGCAACCGTTTCCTTCCTTTACAGGAGAATGATGCCAGCACACAAACTAAAAAGGCTTGAGATCACGGGGAAAAATGCAAAACACTCATCATCTTATCAAAATAGTAAGTGCATGGGTTCAACACCCCTATCAACACTAGGACCTTCCAATTTAACGTCCGTCTCCAATAGGACTAAGCTAAATGGACTGAGAGCCTTAAAAACTCCGAGTTCGAAAACCCCCAGTCTGGTATTCAAACCAAACCCATCCTGTCTGTAATCCAGCATGATACCCCATTCATCATTTTCTCTTCAAGAAAAAACAAATGTATTAATGCATCAAATTTCATCAAAATCAAATGATGAAAAATTGTTTAACAGTACAAGAATGCTCTTTGTAAGCGGTAGACCATCTGACGTGCAATTTGACTCGTAAGTAAAATTAAATACATCCACTATCATTATCTGCTCCATCTTTCCTTTAATTGACTACATCTCTGAACCAGCCAGAAAAGTAGTCCACACACATAACTCTCTAAAAACAACACTTAATTTAGATTTCAAGAGCAACAAAATGAAAGATTTATTAAGTAGAAAAAGATTACGTTCATTCCACTTACAAAAACACATAAATGAGCCTATTTTGAGCTAATGGTAGCTCTAAAAAGTAAAACACTGTCAACGACACTGTATTTATTCACGAAAGGTGAGACACTCATACATGATGTGGCCGTTTCAAACAAGTAATTCCACTGATATATAATGCGATATACTCTTGAGAACTACAAACTCTGTAATAATCCTCAAACAATAAATGAACTAGTGTGAGTCTCTGCTGCTCTCTGGTATGCTGGTAGTACTCCCACCAAGGAGGCTCCACTGATGGTAAGTCTCTGGGTTATTTTACATATATTTTATATTATCACAGAGTGTCGTAAATGCAGTCTTCTAATATTAAGTACAGTCATGAGACATTCTGTATCCTTCCCAACACAAAGAAAGAAAGAAAAAATGAAAGAAAGAAAGAAAGAAAGAAAGAAAGAAAGAAAGAAAGAAAGAAAGAAAAATCGATCAGTCGTCAATGAATCAAATTACTTTAAATATAAAGCATAAAAACATGATATGTGAGGCACAGTGGTGAAATCAGGCGCTTGTCAAAATAGTAAAATCAAAGAAATTGGCATTTTTTTTACCGTTTGGCAATTTTTTTTTAAATTTCTTTTTTTGGGGCTTAACACCTTTTATATACCCATTTTAAAACACATTTCTGAGTGAATTTTACTGAAAAACATCGATTAAAGGCACAAAAAATGTCAATTTTCAGTTTCCAGGGACTTTCAAGTTGTGGAAATTTTGTCGGCCATTTTCTCACTAATTTCACCTCGGAAACCAGGCGACCCTGACCTCCATCAATCGCAAATATTTCGACTCCTATTCAACAACATAGATGGATATTTTTTCACCAAAAGCAAGGCAAATGAACAGGCTTTAAGATGATACCAATAACCCCATACGCCCAAAAATTGACGAGAGCTTGATTCCACCATGTCGCGACACATATGTTATTTTCAGATATAAAAACCCACAAAAGCAACGAAAAGCAAAGCAGAACGAGTGTTTGTCAGATAGAACACCTCCCTGTAATTTGCAATGTAAAACATATTACAGGCCAAACATATGTGCATGAATGTGGCATGTAAGAAAACCCTTCAAACTGGTCTATTTCATGATAATAATGGAAACCATACTTCAAAAGCATTTTCTGAGTAATCCTTTAGTTATCTTCGTAACAACCTAGAATATAGCATGCTCAAGAGAAAGGAGTAAGAAAATTGTGACTAAAATGTATTTCTGATCCCATGCCTCAGTATATTAAATTAAGAAAAAAATATTCTTTTTATTATTTTATTATAGTATTAGAGGGTTTTACGGCGCTCAAAACTGCATAAGGTCATATGAGCGCCAAGGGGTGGGTGTCAACAGAGAAGTCTTTACAGGGAATCACACTTACTCTGCTCACCTCTCTAACTTCAACAGCACAAGGTCTGCTTCAACTATCAAGGCACCCCGGAAATAGTGGGTCACAAGAGTGTGACAAACAATTCAAACATACAAAAGAAGGAGAGGAAATGACGGTAGTAAGGATTAGGAAAGAAAAAGCAGCAGTTCCCTGATGTAGATCAGGCACAGTTGTGAGCGTGACATGAATCAGCCCATTTACAATTCTACTGTGCTTGAACGAGAAATGTCCCCCCTTTGGGAATGGCCTAGAGACACTTCAGTCAGTGGCACTGCCCCGGGGGGTAAAATGATTCTAAGACCTCATATGAAATGTAGACTTTAAATTTTACCATACAATATTCTACAAAGTTTCTCACAGCAGATATTTAATCAATCCATAGATCCTTAGTCTGAAGGTTCTCTTTTTCACATGAGTTGGTGTTTTTGTTCATTTTATAAAAAGTTGCTCAACAACTTCATACGGATCTTCCCGACCCCGTCACATATATTCCCAAGTAGAAGCAGAAAAATAAAGAACATTTATCTATTTGGCCAAGCAAGTTTCTCTTCAACTTAAAGTAGAATTATCATATCACAAACAAATCAATGCAAAGTAAAAGTCCACTTGAGTCCTACATTCAGAACATGCTTGATTTTTAACTTCAACGCGCGATCGTAGTCTCCACACTCAGTGAGGTCACATCAGGGTCTCCTTGATGTCATACAGGAAAGTGACTTTTCATGTATGTTCAGATTGGGGGCTCATGCAGATTCTACCCAATGCTGGCCCAGTATATTAAGTGGATTGAGAGGTGGAACATGATAAGTAGTAGCAAACCATATGTCCGGGGCAGCATTTAACGGGTGCACTCAATCAATATCAGACAGACAAAGAATAGGATAAGCAGTTGCTTTGTGATTTCATTAGAATTATTTCAGGGGGTGGAAATATTAAAGGTAAAAGTACATCATGCAACAACAACTACAACAAGAACAAAGTACTTGGCACATATAACAACTAGGACAAATATGTCAGGAGCAAAAAAGCAAATTTCAAGAACAGCAGATTAAAACATCAGATAAAAATACAAATCATCTATGTATGAAGTCAGTATAAACAGAATGAGAACAAAGCCCAAAGTTCCATGTTACATTAGACTCTCAGATTTCAAAGCCTATACACATAATTCTCAGAACAGAAAAAAATTAATGGTAACATACACACTCATTTCTAAATGATGATTTTAAGAATTTTAATACTTTTATTGTCAAGGATACAAGCTACACTTTGAAAGTGGGGAACATATAAACACGGATAGACATCCAGGTTCTTTTGTGCTACCAGCAACACAGATCTACTGGTTTGTATGAATGTTGTATTAGTAAAAAATGTCAGAAAAGAGACAAAAACAAAAACAAAGCATATACAATCATAGTAGAGCGAAACATTTATCACAAACAAAAGTAAAAGCAACAATTGTTCTGAGATCCAGATCTTTAACTGTGTAAGGTGGCACTAAAGACCAGGAACTGCCCATGGTGACCAATCAATAATTCACTGGTTTTAGAATAAAAGGTATAACAAGCTATATGAATTTCTTACAAGAAAATTATTCAATTAAAGAAGTCTAAACGTGTGCTGTAACAAACATTTTAGGCGTAAAAGCAAAACATAAAATAAAATAAAAAGTCTACAGCAATATACATCTCAGAGTCACTAGTGGGCCAGAACTTATATCCAGGACAAACGACAGATGCATGTACATGTGTATTTCAGCTTGTTGTGAATACAGCTCAATGTCTTTTGATACAAACAACAAATGACATTTAAGAATACAGTCAAGTGTCTTCTGATATCATCAACAAACAATAGATAGTTAAGCTGGTTATGAACATAGCCCAGTGTCATCTGATATCACCAACAAATTTAAGATCGTCCAGGTAGTTATAAATATAACCCAATGTCTTTTGATATCACCAACAAATAACACATAGATGTGCTAATTATGAATATAGACCGGGTGTTCCGATTTCACCAACAAATAACAGATAGTTCAGCTGGTTATAAATATAGCCCTGTGTCCTCTGATATCACGAACAAGTGACAGGTAGTTCAGCTGCAAGTGCCTCTTTGGTTTCACATACCCAACCTTGAGACAAGGAACCTTTATAGTTATAGTAAAACTGCAGTTGTCACTGGAATTGTGAGTGGCAAAAAACTTGCAGGAATTTCATGGAATGGTGCCCGTATAGCATGGCACAGGAAATGGAATACTTTTAAAGAGAAAATAAGATGAGAGTAAATAAATAAGATTTTGTACTGCCTACAATTTGAAGCAGCCATTCTACATGGCAGTCTCTCTTCTCTAAAAGATCACAAATCCATAATAAATGTTCAACTTAACACGGCTAACAAAACAATCTAAACCTTTTTGGAGGAAGGCTGCTCTGACTCTGCCTGAGTGGGATACAACATCCCAGCAGAAAAATAGAGATACTCCTCAACAAAATGAACTTCTCAGGAATTTGGATGCAACAGTCAAGGGCACCACAGATGCCCATTTTCTCCTCTAAAATATCAAGTGTTTTTGTTGGGGGGTTTTCTTGGGGGGGGGGGGGGGGGTTAAGCTCTTTTCAATATTTCAAAGACATAAGCTCAGACTGACAAAAGAAAATAAATTCTCCACAAACCCCAAAAAAAATCCCAACTATTTTCAGATAACGTGTTCAGGTAAAAATAAAGCAAAAAGATAGTAAGAAGGTACAAAACTAAAAATGAACATACAAAACAATATCACAGCAAAGAAAACAAATTTTGATATGTACTCTGCTGCATGAATGAAACGATAAATCCAGTCTTCACCCGTACCAGCCGAAAATACAAATAGGAGCATAAAACAAGAATAGAAAGGGAAAAAAATAAGGAGGGACACGCAAACACAACATAAAGTATGCAATACTGTTATTTAAAGCCATTTTCCTGAGGAAGGAAAGTAATTTTTAAAAAGCAAAAAAAACTATTCAACAAGTTAATTCTTGTGTCATTCATTATCAATAATCCCATCAGTACCACGCATTCTGTGAAAACAAAGAAAGTATCAAAAACAGTCAGATCCATTCATCCCCCACTCAAAAGAAGGACAAACATTATCCAGGTCAACAAAACAGTAAAAGCTACCTCTCTGATGTGGTTTAAATTTTTCACTCCAGTCTGTGAACAAATAAGATGAATCAAGGGGCATTTGTTCTTGAATCGTGCTTGCCCAAATCAGTCTGTAAAGTTTGTCTGGTTATCTTGGTCAAGGAAATAGCAGGTCTGTTTTAAAGGTGTGCAGATGAAGAGCTACCACAATACATAGCAAATTATCCCCACCCCTTTAATAAAACCAGCTAGCGGGTGGTTGGAGGGCGTCACTGGTAGGTCTTAATTTTTTTACTTTCCCCCATTGTTATTTCTATCTGTCTGACCTATTCTAAACATAAGACCATCCAACCCCAGTAGAGTAAATTTTCCAGGAGAATGAAAAACAGTAATTTGATTTTATTAGTCTGGTGACAGATGGCTGGCGATTTGTTCAGCCATAGGAGCATTTCTAGTCAAAATTCAGACCCATCTTTGACACAGCAAATGAACTGGATAAAGTACAATCGCTTCATCAAATAAAAAGATTTGATATTTTGTGAGTTAGCCAATCTTATCACACTGGTGACAATACCTAAAGCTAATTGACACAATTAAGAAAGAAAACATACTAGAGACAGACAAACACTGCTAGCGGGTAACATATCACAGACAGATACATACCATCACAGTCCGACTGTAACCATGTATGTGCTGTGAACACTAATTTTGAGAAAAGAGGTAAATATGCAGTTTCTTTCTTATCACAGTAGGATCCATTTCAGCAACCGCAACCTTAGCTTGCATAAAAGAATTTTTCCTTTAATAACCTCCTTAATGGCATCCTTTTTCCTGAACAGCAACCTCCATTGTTATAAACTGTCTATGGCCTATAACTTCAGTGTGTGTGTGTGTGTGTGTGTGTGTGTGTGTGTGTGTGTGTGTGTGTGTGCATCCCTCCTCTTTTGTTTATCTCCTCAACACAACTGTCTAGGCCGAAAATGCACTCTGCCGAGTTCTGAAGCTTAGTTCACACCCTCTCGCCAAGAACTACCTTCTTTCAAGGGTCTGAGGGGAAAAGTCTCAGCCACTGTGCCTAACATTACTGCAGGTGCTTGAATACTGCCTATGTTATCACTTTCTGACATAACAACATCACCACACCCTGCAGCTGGTCGCTTTTAATTAAGCACAGAGGGGCTATCCCGAAAAATGCTGTTTTGAAAAAATCGAAGGTAAAGTTTTTGGACCCTTTTGGACCCTTGTTCAGTTTCTTTAACCCTATCCGTACATCGTGTTTCACTATCGTACCAATACAACGTGGGGAACTCTGTGCCATCACTTTCAAAGAGGAAATTTACTCGTTAATCAGATCCGTACGCTTTGCATAGCAGTCTGTCAAAATGACTTTTTGAGAAAAACTGAAAGTTTCAAAGAGATCTGTTTTTTGTTTTAGTAGAGGATTTACGGTGCTCGCAATTGCATAAGGTCATATGAGCGCCAAGAAAGAGATCTTCGTACTAGAAGTATTCTCAAATGTGAAGAATACAACCCCAGGGTGCAAAATTACCCCAGGGCGTACGGATAGGGTTAAACGACAAGGAGAGTTTTCTCCATAACCAAACAAATATACACACCAAGGAGACAAAACTTCTCCTATACGTAGGGCAATGCCAACTTTTGGTGTAGGTCAAGATTTCTGGAAACCCCCAAAACCTGGGGTAACCCGCTTGTCCTTAAAAGCAACCAATAAGGGCCCATGCTTGCATGCGTGTGTGTGTGTGTGTGTGTATGTGTGAGTGTTTGTGGAGAGGTTATCACATATTTAAAAGTTTACAGTTATATGTACAGCCCCGCCTTTGAAAATTCAGTTAACAGCAAAATCCACCTAACAGCAAGCTAGGCCTACTTCTCAAAAGGGATTGTCGTTAAGCAGGAGGAGAAAAGTTGTTGTGCCAGATCTTACGTTTAGATTTGTTTTTCAAAGAAAAAAGACAAACAGACCACACAAGAATAAGGACATTTAGTTTTCAGTTTTACTAAAGATTTTACGGCGCTCGCAACTGCATAAGGTCATATGAGCGCCAGAAGATTAGAGGTATTACAAGAGAGTAACAAACATAAAAAAGAAGGAGGGGAGATAAGGACGATAGATTTTTTATAAGAAAGAAGGAGCAAACCACACCAGAGCACCCGTCAACCACCCACATAAGGACATTTGAGTGAGAAAGAAATGTACAAATAGGTAGAAAATAAAATGTGAAAAATAAACACAGAAGTCATCTACGGTCCATGGAGAAGCTCAACAAACAAATAGAAAAGGCAACAAATACCTAGTTGAAACACAGATCTACTGAAGACAAACGGAACACTCAGATACAAAGTCAATACTAACAGGTTCCAAACCCCAGGATGGCCTTCCTTGAGAGTATCTTCACAACATCATTTCATATATATATGACAGACCATTTTCTAGCTAAATAAATAGGTGTCAAACCATAGAGACCATATTGAGATTTTACTATGAGTGTTTGTTTGTTAAATGAGCCACAGCCTTTTTGTCCTTGCAGAACCTCTATATAATTCAGGGGCATTCAGTTCGGGTAGAAACTAAAATATTTCTCGAAGGGGAATTGGATTTGTTCTTACCCCACCCTCTTGCAAGCGAGTCAAAATTTAAAGCATTAACAAAGGATACACTGACAGGCTCAGACTGTGCAACTGAAAGTAAACCGAAATAAAATGAATTACTGTCAAAAGGAGAAAAATCAATTTTCTGGTAAATGACACATTGATGTATTCAAATCATCACCCTTGTAATAATTATGATACAAAAGAGAATTCATATTGACAGAAATATTTTGTCTACAAAATCAGAGGGCTCATAATAATGTTACATAGTATAAAATCCATTCATACAAATACATTTTTACTCTATCATTATACCACTGGAAATTCAGTATGAATTATCCATTGCACATGCATTTCCATATTTCGGCAATCCTCTTTATGACAACCCCCCCCTCCCCCCCCCCAACTTATTATAATCTAACTAACAACCAGAGTTGACCCATACCAGTGGAAAAAGAATTCCCATCAGAAAGATTACAGAAATCTGGAAAACAACCAAAAGAAAATGTATCTAAAGTTCAAATCACCCTTCAGTCTTTTTAACCTCTAATTCTAATACTTTGTGCAACTGCATTAGCTTTCTCTGTGCTTTTATCACACAAACCTGTTCCATTAGCTTGTCCATCTTTTCATTGTTCTCCTTCCGTGATTCCTCTGAGCTTAGCCTAGGCAAACAAAAAGACACTCATCTAAAAATTTAAAAGAAATTGAATCATATAAACAATTATTACTAGCATCTGTTTAGTGCTTAGTCACTTCTCCATTGCATGCAGAAGACCTGCGTTCAATTCCCATGTGGGTAGAATGTTTATAGAGTATCTCAATCTTTTTGCTGGAATGTTGTATCCTTCTCAACCCGGTTGGCCCTGACAGGTAGTGTCAAAGCCTGCCTTCCAACGATCTAAATTGTGTCCATGAAGGCATAAAACACTTACATTTTCAAAAAAAAGTGATCAATATATGGAATGTACATGCAGAGCCATTTCATGGAGGTGAAAAACAATTTTATAAAGATGATGAGATGAGTAAACTAAATGTTTAGATCGAAGTCTTTTCCTTCTTTAAGGGTCATGGCACACATCCCTTGACTACTGATAAGACTCCTTATTTTCCATTTCAACAAGTCTTATCATTTTCAACTTTAGTGAGCGTTCTGTTTATAAACTTAGCTTTAATCCCTGACAACATTTTCGTTTCTTTTTATATGGTTACACTACTTTTTATGGTTTACATTAAGAGTTTCATATCTAAGATCATGCCATGTAAAAACCAAGTCTGCCTTGAAACCCGCCTTTGAACATAACAAAACTTTGGTACCATTTTCATGCCTAAGAACATGTTCTAGAAATAAAAATCTGTTGAGAAAAAAACTTGTATGAGCTGAAGGAAATAATCTTTTCTAATTCTGAGGGTCTTGCTTCACCTAAGTCTTAATATTGGAAAAGCAAAAGAGGCCAATTTCAAAACAAGGAAATGCACACTGCTATGTTGCAAAGTTTAACTTCAACTTAAGATACGTTGAGAGGTATTATAGGAGAAGGTAGGAGTGGGCAATGCACAGCAGAAGCGATGACACTTTCCTACCCTACCTCTACTTTTTGTTTCACATGGAGGTACTACACGTTCAGTTAAAACTGACAGTAGTCCATCCTCTTGGGGATTCGAAACAGGGCCATCTGCTCTATTGCCCAGCTTGATACCAACTGATCTAACACGTCACCACTGAAAAAGCAGGCCAGTTAATCCCTAAGTTGTTTTCTAAATCAATCACTTTCAACAATAATTGACTTACATGCTAGTTGCCGATCTAGGAACTTGATCCATTTCAAAATGCTGCCTAGCCAACTGCTCTTGCTGTACACGAATTGCATCCATCTTGTTGAATGTTGCAGTATTTCCTGTTTAAAATATTTTGTAAATGAATTCTAGAGTAATCTTTTACTCTTTCTTGAGATACAAACATTAGAATCAAAGATAGAGTTTGCATAATATATTTCAAAACTCAACTCTATTAAACTCAAAGCATAATAAAGCACACACACACACACACACACACATATATATATATATATATATACATTATACTATAAACACACATACAAAGGGAGCCTTAAAAAAGTGCCCAGATACCCTGTAACATTGACAGATAGCATCACTCTGATGTCCCTACTAAAGTGCCACAGCCATATCACAGAAAGAATTTTTAGTTTTAGTAAGAGTTTTACAGCACTAGCAAAACAATACAATTATATAAGTGCCGAAAATTAGAAGTGGTTTAGTTTTAGTTTTAGTAAGAGTTTTACGGCACTTGCAACACAATAAGGCCATTTAAATGTCCAAGATTAGAAGTGTTACTAGAGAGTAACAAACACAAAATAGAAGGAGGGGAGATAAAAAAGATAGATTTTTTATAGGAAAGAAGGAGCAAACAACACCAGAGCACACGCCAACCACCCACAAATTAGAAGTGTTAAAAGAAACAAACACCAAAGAGAAGGAGGAGAGATAAGAACAACAGATGTTTAATATGAAAGAAAGAGCAAACAACACCAGAGCACCTGCAAACCACCCACGAGAGAAAATTTACAAGCAGTACAAATTATTATTCTTGTGCGATGTGTGAGTAAAGAGAAGTACATAACACAATAATGATAATTTAGAACAGGGAAAAAGCAAGACAGACAGACACAAATAAAAGAGGGAAAGAAAAGAAGAACCTACCAATAGCGCCCTCAAACCACCAACTAATTATTATTATCCTTGGCATCCCTGGACAGAGACAAAAGGAAAGCAAAAACACACGAACATGAATTGCTTACCAAAGGCTTGAAGCTTCCCAGAATGGAAATCATTCAGCAAAGAGAGTAAACCATGCTCCATAGTACGTACATCAGCAACATCAGTGAGGAATGCATGCTCTTTGGCTGGTCTATTCACTGAGACTTTTCTTCCTAAATAAATAGGGGGGAGGGTGTGGGGGATTTCCGTTCTAAATTTGTAAATCAAAACAGTAGGTGAAACAATGTAAACTGAAAGTTTCCCTGGGCTGTTCACCTTTGCATTTCTTCAGTCAATTTATGCTTGCATTTCCCCTACTGTCAAATTAAGGTACCTTTTGAAAGATTCCAGCTATATTGGTATTAACATTGATCTCAAACATAATAGGGTATGGAAACCTGAAAAACTCCCTGAGTACCCAAGGTTCAGAACCATACCCCCACTCCCCCCAAAAAAACCCCCAACCCCATAGCATTTTATCAGTTGTCAGGAATGAATATAACTTGAAAAGAGGAAGGTGCTACCACAGAGCACCTTTAACTCTTCACAGAGGCCAGTTGTGTTAATTATGAACTTAAGGATGTAAATCCATTTCTTTAAGCCTAAACTTTCACTTTTCTTTAAGCCTAAGCTTTCACATTTAGCAACCGCATTCAGATTACCAGTTTGCTGTTTTTCCTTTTGAGAGCTGTGGCGTCGAGCAAGCCCTGAACTAACAGACTGCCTTTCTTTCTTCTCTTTTTCCATCATCATTCAGTAGAGACCTGTGGCAAAACACACAAAACATTTTTTATATGATCAAAATTAAACTTTTGAAAATAAAACACTTTGTTTTAGTAGAGGTTTTACGGCACTCGCAACTGCATAAAGTCATATGAGCGCCAAGGGATGGATGTCAACAGAGAAGTACTTACAGGAAATCAGGCTTACTCTGCTCACCTCTCTAGCTTCAACAGCACAAAGTCTGCTTCGACTATCAAGACACCCTGGAAATAGCGGGTCACAAGAGTGTGACAAACATACAAAAGAAGAAGAGGAAAAATGACGACAGTAAGGATTAGAAAAGAAAAAGCAGCAGTTCCCTGTAGCAGTTCAGGCACATTTATGAGCATGACATTGATGAATAACCACATTTACAATTACAATGCGCATAAGACCGCGTGGAACCTGGAGAAGAATCACAGAAATTGATGTACAGAAAAGTGGGAAGACATAGGATAACATCAAGAGGCTTGCCCAGGATAGAGAAAGGTGGACAGTGTTTGTTAGTGGCCTATACCCTGGTGCAGGGTGAGAAAGGCAATGATGATAAACAGCCTGACTGACATATACAGATAATTGTGGAGCTCTTCCGCGACTGAGCAGAGACAGAAAAGTAGTTTCAATTATGCAGTAAAGAATACTGACATTAAACCTAGAATGAAGGATAAAAAGATTCAAACGCCCCCTTTAGAAGGTAATCTACACAAAACCATTTTCTTCTTCCAAAGGAATTCATAAAGTAATTGGACCAAGTAAAGCTAATTCACCATTAACTCCCTCGAGGAGGGCACTTTTTGGCTTACCATCCGAAGATTGCCAAGCAATTTGACACCTATTTCAAAAAATCATTGTAACATAATTCACCAGCCATTAATGAAACTTAGCAAGCAAAAAGGCAATAAAACATACTGTCCAAAACAAAAGGAATTTTAAAGATATCTTAATGAGTTGTTTTTTTAATGAATTTTTGCAAACGAGTCAAAATTCTTTTTTTTTAAAACCTGTCTAAATGAAATGTGACTTTTGGTTGGTTTTTTAAAAATACATGAGTATGCCTCTCGTGTCAGTTTGGGTACAAAACAAGGTTTGAACAAAAACAGAACAATGTAAGTTACGTTGAGATATTTATTTATATATACACACTTGTGTTTTTGACCAACTTGTCCAAATTGATGAAGGACCTTGCTATGTAACGTAATTTGCCTGGATGACCAACTCGGCATAAAAGTCGGCAAAGCAAGTTTGGTCCACTCACAGAGAGAGAGTTCCAACTCCTGCTGGATTTAGAGCTTCTGTCTGTTTCCTTTTATGCTTACATGGCGTGAGGGAAGCTAGAACTTGCCCCTGGGGCCACAGGATCGATGTCAAGATTCATCATATTTATTATCACTGATCAGTAAGTCACTACTTGTTTCAACAGCTGTTCGCCTACCCCTTTTACTAGATCTAACAGTTGACTGTCACTAATCCTTACATCCTTACACTTGCTGTTACTCCTGTCCTATTCTTCAGCACTAGAAAGTCTAAATCCGACCAGTCATATAATGGGTCCATCATTTTCAAAAATGCTTTGAGATCATTTGTTCGCCACTGTGACGAAACTGATGTGTGAACGGTCGTCCAGAAATAAAATCTATATTTTATCCATTTATCAATGGAATAACTCAAACAATTCACAATCAACTCACAAAGGACAGCAGGTACCACAAAGACAAGACCGAGGGGTTTCGGTAATGAACCGCAAATGCAGTCAGAAGCACATATAGAAAAAAACCAAAACTCCTCAGTTTTGGCAGCGAGTGAGTTAAAATTACCCATGTTCATTATCAAATGTACTGTGCTAAAGTTGGAAAATTTAACTTACCCTTGTAATTTCCAAGTGTTCACTCAAACACAAGTAGGACTCCCCAACCGCTGCACTCAAAGATGTGGAGACTTCTAAATAAAAAGAGGTTTAAAATGAAAGGCTGTAAACAGAAAGATGGTGTTGGAGTCAAGATCTATCTATAAAGACCAGTTTGCTGCTGACAGAAGAAAAAAAATTTCCACCATGGGTATCAATCAACCTAGAGTCAGGGTCTCATGAGATGAGAATAAAAGTAAAATAATGGGTAAATGTTTACTTTCACACCAGCATGCAGCCTTCAAACCAACACGCAGATGCACTACTTTAGCACTTTAGGGGGCTAAACCATCATATTTTTGTCTGCAGAACATATATATGGCCATTAAAACCGTTGAACATCAATTTTGTTTTCAAGAGAATCTCAAATCTAATAGTAATAGGCCTAGCATGACGTCACATTATGGTAAAATACACGGGGCCATGACCCCCTGAAACCCACCAGTTTCTTAAAAACATGTGAAACATACTACACAATTACACAATTGCGCCTGTGGTAACAGGCCTATTATCAATTTGTATTTAAAACACCAAATACCTCAAAGATAAATAATTTCATGAATATAAAGCCAAAATTTGTGTAAAACAAAAATGAATAAGAAAAATGCTATAGAATATACAGAACACGAGATAGGTGTAAAAGTAAAATAACATCTGTGCCACAATAATATTATAAATCATAATAAGGCAGTTTTCAGTGTAGTGAAAAGTGCCATTAAATTAATCGATGAGCAACCAGTGCCAGTGAAGTCTTGTTTCACTCGGCCGATGAGTGACCAGTGATGAGTCTTGTTAATGTTTCACTCATTTTATCATTATATACTAGGGTAAATGAAAGATGAATGATGAGTTGAGATTGTGACACATATTGTGACATATGTCTTGATAAAACATGTAGGCCTACACAGACCTTTACTTTATACTTTAAATAGTAGTAGTTTTTTTGGTGCTACTTGACTTAAGAATGTGCGTCCCATCTGTTTAGGCCTGGCAGCCATGATGGATAAGTGATTATTTTTTTCTTTATTAAATTCAATCCTTTTTGTCATGGAATGGCTGGCAGAAAAAAAGTTAGTTACCGCATGTAAAAACTGCTTTCTCTGAATGCGCATAAGGTACCTTATGCCAAATAATTTTATATTATTATATTTTCTTTATAAATACGTAGTGAATATTTGGACTCTAGTCCGATTAGACAAAAATTATATTCAGACTCGAGTCCGAATAAACAAAAATTATATTTGGACTCTGAATTGAAACCAGCATGACCTCCGTTCCGACTTCTGACCCTTGTTCCTAAATATTTCCAGCATTTATGAAAAATGTGTCTATTATAATGATAAAAATCGAGACGTGAGCTTTAATATCCAGTCACTACATCTATCTAAACTGGCCCTCCCTGCATCATTAGTATGAACAGAACAACCAAATTGAGTTGATCTTGCCAGGGGCAAAGTTAATTATATTGACCAATGAGATTGCGTGTAGTGATCACACACTCTCGGCTTGCTGGGGGCAGAGGTGTTGGGCACGGCTGTCGATTTTGTGCCATGTGATTTTTAAAAAATAATTGATTACAGAAAAACTATAACACACAAAAAAATGAAATTAAACATGAGGAAAGACAAATGGTGGTGGAAGTAATGATCATGCTATCGTGGTGGTGGAAAGACTCTGAGTTGTCGGTTATCGTGTACTTAGACACTGCCATTGGGCAATGAGAGTGCAGTCTTTTGACTTGTGACACAATTACACAGTCCTAGTAATACTAGTAGGTAATTCTTGTTCTAATTCTGGTTTTACGTAAAATCCCCCGACGACCGTTATACTCATGATATAAATAACTCACTTAGACACAGACAATAGTTAGTCTTCACTTGAATCTGCTATGGCGCCAAATGCCAAAGTTCTGACCAGTCGCAAGCGCGATTTGCAATCTTTCTTATAGTTAAACCTCAACGACAAGCAAGCGCTTTCTTCACAAGTGACAAGTGCTCGCTTTATAATTTTATTGCGAGCAAGCGTTCTTTTTGGCCAGCTCTATTCTCACCCGGAGTGAGAATAGTGCAGGCGAGTCTTGTGGCTATTCTCACCCGGTGCGCGTTCACCAAATTTTGCGTTCACCCTAAACCACAGAATTCTACACTGTGATAACAGAAAAATTGTAGAATTCTGTGCCGTGAACAAACGTTCCATTACAATTGTAGCCTACTAAAAGCGTACAATTTTGTCTGTGGGCAGTGGAGAGAGAGAGAGAAAGAGAGAGAGGAATAGCGCGAGAATTTCCGGGCAAAACAAAATGGCGACCCGCGTAGTTCGGCTCAATTCGAAAAGTTAAATAGCCGTAGCATCTTTGTAGACAACCAAATTTATTTACTTTTGTGTTTTAACATCATTTTTTAACTTTGTTTTGGTCAATTTGATCGTCCACACCGATAGACAGTATTCAGAAAGAGACAGAGAGAGAGAGAAGAGGGGAGGAGTTGATCTTGCGAGAACTTCCGGGCGGGTGAGAATAGCCACTTTCTTCTTTTTCAAGTTTTTGAGCGTACCTTTATTTAGTCTAGGCCACCTCTATTCTCACCCGGAGTGAGAATAGTGCAGGCGAGTCTTGTGGCTATTCTCACCCGGTGCGCGTTCACCAAATTTTGCGTTCACCCTAAACCACAGAATTCTACACTGTGATAACAGAAAAATTGTAGAATTCTGTGCCGTGAATAAACGTTCCATTACAACTGTAGCCTACTAAAAGCGTACAATTTTGTCTGTGGGCAGTGGAGAGAGAGAGAGAAAGAAAGAGAGAGAGGAGTAGCGCAAGAATTTCCGGGCAAAACAAAATGGCGACCCGCGTAGTTCGGCTCGATTCGAAAAGTTAAATAGCCGTAGCATCTTTGTAGACAACCAAATTAATTTACTTTTGTGTTTTAACATCATTTTTAAACTTTGTTTTGGTCAATTTGATCGTCCACACCGATAGACAGTATTCAGAAAGAGACAGAGAGAGAGAGAGAAGAGGGGAGGAGTTGATGTTGCGAGAACTTCCGGGCGGGTGAGAATAGCCACTTTCTTTAGTCTAGATTCTAGATCTAGAATCTAGATATATATATAGACTAGATCTGGATCTAGAATCTAGTCTAGATCTATCTAAGTCTAAGTTTAAGTCAAGTGTATCAGTCACAGCACAGGACACTTTTACATTCTTTTTTGGAACTTTTTTATCGGATGAAAAGATTTAGATCTAATATCTAGTCTAGATCTAAATCTAGATTTCTAGATTCTAGATCTAGATTCTAGATCTAGATATCTAGATCTAGAAAAAATCTAGATCTCAATCTAGATATATCTAAATTAGATATAATCTAGTCTATATAGAATCTAGTAATACCATGAACACGATGTTTGGAATTATTATCAAGTATGTGGAAGCATCAAAAGTGGAAAGCACATTATATCTCCTCTTCCCACCGGCACTGCAAGCAGAAAAAAATCTAATTAGATCTAGAATCTAGTCTAATAAAATAATGTAGATCTAGAATCTAGATGTAGATAGATTTAGATCTAGAATATAGATCTAGATCTAGATATCTAGACCTAGAGCCTAGAATCTAGATCTAGATTCTAGAATCTAGTAATACCATGAACACGATGTTTGGAATTATTATCAAGTATGTGGAAGCATCAAAAGTGGAAAGCACATTATATCTCCTCTTCCCACCGGCACTGCAAGCAGAAAAAAATCTAATGTAAATAATAACTAAAATCACAATTGAGCGAGAGTAGCGCCCCTTAGCAAACTTGTTTGTGAACGTCACAGATTTCTGTGTTATAAGGAGCGCACATTTCCGTGTCGTCATCAATTCTTGCGCAGGGGTTGTTTTCCGTCGTTGAAGTGAATAGAGAAAAATGACCACCCCCACAGCCACAGCGAGGATTTCCTCAAAGAAACAGACCCTAGAAGATGCGTATTCACCTCCAGCGAACTTTTTGGAAATCGATGTTTCAGATCCACAGACTCACGGTGTAGCCAAAAAACGATACACTGATTACGAAGTCCGAATGAAGGTAAGAAATGGAAAAGGGAAGTCCTTTGTCGTCAGATTTCAGTGGTCAAAGCCCAAAGGAGCTCTTCAAAAAGGGGGTGTGACTTTCGACGTAAACGGCTCCCCGCAGTTCCTGAAATCGTGCTCTCAATGAAGTTTAACATGTTTTTTCTGGGTACCGTTTTCTGAATTCGTTACCCGGTCTTGCCATGGGATCTCTTTTAATAGAAACTGATTTATCTATTATCAATATCCTCGTCCTCCCCCACCCTTTTGACTGACTAATAATGTCAATGAGACTTGGCCTAGAATCTAGTTGAGTAACAACTTTCACCACAGGACATGGTCATGTCATGCCATCATATGATCATTATCAATTTATGTGTATGGCTATGGGCCTACCATGAGTATGAGTATGATGGTACTCAGCCGACGGCTGTCTAAATTGTCAATAACACATATTATAACAAAAACTGTCTCAGTTGTAGTACTATTTGATAGGCTATTATTTGGTCTCTATCATATGTAAAATTAATGCATGCTGCAAGGACAATGTTGTTCTCATTACCTACTAGAATCTAGATCTAGATCTAGATTAGATCTCGTCTTGATCTGGATCTACTTGATTGTGTAGCAACTGTAAATTGTGTCAAGTCTTGTAATTGATTATATAGGATAGGAAGAGGCTAGCCGTACTTAATGACTGCTAGACTGGCTGGCTAGCCGTGCTTAAGTACGGCTAGACAGCTGGGCTAGCCATACTTATTCTTAATATGATGGCTAGACTGACCATTAAAAAAAAATAGGCCTATTGAATTGTAAATATAAATTTTGAAGTGGCTATCCGTACTTAAGTACGGCTAGACTTAGAGTCTAGCCGTACTTAAGTACGGCTAGACTGCCAGTCTAGCCGTACTTAGATCTAGGTTTGGTCCTATCGACTCAAGCCTGTTAAGTACACAGGTCTCATTAGATCTAGATCTAGTAATTATTCAGGTTCAAATACATGCAAGTCAGTAAGGCACCTTTTTGTTTTGTCTGAAATACAAATTATACTTTAGGCTTTGCAAACTAAAAATTTCATTTACAATTCAGCCATCAATATTAAGTACGGCTAGCCTGACAGTCTAGCCGTCCTTAAGTACGGCTAGCCTGGCTGTCTACCCGTACTTAAGTACGGCTAGACTGCCAGCCTAGCCGTACTTATCTTAGGCCCTATTAACATTAGAAAACAGGAGTTTCAAAATACATGCACTGTCATTAAGGCACCTGGTTTCGTCTCAAATACAAATACTTTAGGTACTGCACACTAAAAATGTATAATAACAATTCAGTAGGCCTATTTTTTTTTTAATGGTCAGTCTAGCCATCATATTAAGAATAAGTACGCGAGTCTAGCCGTCATTAAGTACGGCTAGCCTCTTCCTATAAATTTTTAGTTTGCAGTACCCAAAGTATTTGTATTTGAGACGAAACCAGGTGCCTTAATGACAGTGCATGTATTTTAAACCTCCTGTTTTCTAATGTTAATAGGGCTTAAGATAAGTACGGCTAGACTGGCAGTACGGCTAGACTTCTTGGTTAGCCGTACTTAAGTACGGGTAGACAGCCAGGCTAGCCGTACGTAAGGACGGCTAGACTGTCAGGCTAGCCGTACTTAACCCTAGAAGCGCTCAGCGTTTCACCAGAAGTAACCCGCCAAAAATGCCCCGCCGCCACGGCCGATCAGTTGTGAACACGGGGGTTTGGCGGGGGGGGGGGGGGGGAAACAGCTGAGATACCCGAAATGTATACCTGCTACTGAAAAATGACCATTTACGGCTCAACGGATGATAAAAAGCATATATTTTCTTTAAGCTGATAGAATGAGCCATTCAAAAATGATCAGCGATCAAATAAATACAAACAATGCCGAGAACGCGATAGACTCAACAATTAGTACATCAGCACGGCGAAACTAGTGATAACACATAGCGTGTAGTCGCTCAGCGGGACCGCGTCACTTTATCGATCGATATCTCGGCCAAGAGACGCTCTACGAGGTCAAGATAACTTGCAAAGTCATTGGTCACTATTTATAACTTTGGCCTGTAATTGACTACGTCATTTTCCATATAAGGAACACTGGAATTTTCCTTTGAAAAGGGTCAGCGTCTATGCCCTTTATATAGGGCCTGCGCGCTTCCCGGTCGAAGTAGGTCAGCCTTATATATAGGGCGTGCGCGCTTCCCGGGTAGCCCGGCTCACGCCCTTTATATAGGGCCTGCGCGCTTCCAGGGTTAATATTGATGGCTGAATTGTAAATGAAATTTTTAGTTTGCAATGCCTAAAGTATTTGTATTTCAGACAAAACCAAAAGGTGCCTTACTGACTTGCACTTGCATGTATTTGAACCTGAATAATTACTAGATCTAGATCTAACGAGACCTGTGTACTTAACAGTAACAGGTTTGAGTCGATAGGGCCAAACCTAGATCTAAGTACGGCTAGACTGCCAGTCTAGCAGTACTTAAGTACGGCTAGCCACTTCGTTATATATATATGTTGCTGTTGCCAATAAATATACATAGAGGCAATGGAAACTTTCCACATGGAGAGAAGCCTGTATTGTGTTTATTATTCAACCTATAGAAACAAAAACTGACACAGACATATTGCAAAGTATTTCAATAAGTGAGTTACGTTTTTTTTCTTGATCGTGTCTCATATAGTGGCATAGTGTTAAGCACAAACTGGTACCCTTTGATTTCAAAATTTCACGTTGGTAGCGGGCATTGTAGCCCCTTGCAATGATGCAAGCTTGGCATGTTCTGCGCATTGATGGAGTCAGCTTTCTGTTTCTTGACAAATTTATTGTTGTGGCAGTCCATTCCACTCTTGTTGTTTTGGGAGCTCCCTCATAGCTCCCAGTCAGTTCAAGCTTAATTTTTGGAAAGATGGCGAACATTGGTCATAATAAGGCCGCCTTGCTCGATGTCCGAATGTGTTTCAAGGCCGTAGTTTTTTCCTTCTATCGCTGATGACTCTTCCAGTGTCTGTATGAAATTGAAGTGAAGAGCTAGTCGTTGTGAGAAAGTGATTTCAAAGATACCAGAGCAAAATCTGTCTTGTCTTCTTCAGCAGCATCAACCTGTGGTTTGCCTAGCATGTGTAATTAACTCCAGTGACTTGGAGCTTATCTTTCAGGATTGATGGTAGGTTGGGAGCAATGAAGCATCCTCGCCACTCTACGGGCCGATAGTACAGCTTGCAGTAATCAAATTGTCCAACAGCGCTCCTTGGGGCCTTAACTTCGGCATCTTGTACAGCAATTTGAGACGACAAAAGAGCTAGCTGGAATGTCTATGTAACTTGTTTTTTTCAGTTCTAAAGTCGCTGATGTGTTGATCAAAGCACATTTTTGAAGGTTTCATAATTTCGGCGGAACTTAATTCATTACACCCTAAGGGTCTGGACATGAAATCCATTGTTAGATCCTAAGCAAGGGGAAGGAACCCACCTCCCGTGAATACAAGCCTTTAAAAATCACATTTTAAAAATACTAAACAAATTCCAAAAATCCTTAAAAAATAAAAGTTAAAACGAAAAATGAATGCAGTTTCAGAAAAATATAACTTTATGTATGCGCAAACTGTGGAAATGTTCTACTTTAGTTCAATCGGGGTGTCCGAACCGTCACTCTCACTCTCAGCCTCGGGGTCGGGCCCTAGATCTACATTCTAGATTTTCTAGTCTGATCAATCGGAATCGCCCTGAACTCTTGCTACATTTTCGTCAAAATTTGAGTCATCTGAATTGTCATATATATGCTTGTTTTTGCTCAAATCCGTCGTTATTTCCTTTTTCAAACTCAATTGTGTCGCTTTTCAACAAGTCGAGACATCTATGAAGTGTCGGTAAAGCGATCTCACTTCGTTCGGCTCTAATACTAAAACTACTCCCCCGAAAAATTTCGTTTCGGTATCAAACGAAAGAAAAAACTTTTTGCAATAACTGCAAATCAAAATCTCGGCCCCAGAGTTTTTGACGAGACTTCGTTTCTAAAGACACTAGGTCAACGCTGGCGGTTCCGGGCAAGTCAGGGTGGAGCGCATAAGGGAATTCCCGGGCAGTCCTGGGCGAGTTAGGGTGTAATGTGTTTAGTCAAAAAATGTGTTAATTTGCTTGTGGGTCACATGACCACGTCGTTAAATTTTTGTGCAGGAAAAAAATTGCATGGAACCCTTGTCGAGTACATGGTGAGTGATGAACAAAATTTAGCTCACTTACTAACTCACGTGAACAAGGGCCCAGTTACAAAAACCAAAGTGGAAAGTTTCTACCGTCGCTGGGTATAAATGTATTGCAGTCCCAGTTATTAAGGTCTTTTCCCATTATTGTATATGCTGACTATGAATTTATTGCAGAGGAGGATGACGTTGAAAAGGAATGAAAAGGGTTCCAGTTTGGGCCATGGTAGGAGCCAAGTTCAAACGATAATATTCCATTGACCCGCAAAATATTTCAGGGAAATTATTTCTCCTTTTCGTCTTTTCACTTTATCTCCCTCTCTCTCTTTGATTAGCCCTTGGATTCCTTCCCATACAATGGACTCTGTGGTAAAAGTTATATCAGTATCAGAAATCACATTGGCCCCAGAGCTGTTACAGGCCAATCAGTAGTGACAAGAACTTTAAAAGTAATAATTCATGACAGCTTTAAATATTGAAATTGACTTTGATAACAATGTGGATTTCACAGACTTTGAGTTTCATGAAGACAGGGCTTCCAGTCTTCCGCAATTTTGCGGATTTCCACAAATTAGCAGAATTCCGCAAATGGAAAAATTTCCGTTTAAAAAATATATTTTTAAAAATTATTTTAAAAATGCGAAATAAACATTTTTCGTTATTACCAGTGGCGGGGTGCTATTGGTGCTAGCGCTCCACCTAACCCTGGCCTTCCTTCACCACCTCCCCTCCCCCTTTTCTAATTATTCTAAACCAGTCAGTGCTCTAGATCTACATAGGCCTAGCCTACATCCTTGCGATCCGTCACCCGCTGGCTGCACGCGCGCCAGTGAAGAGACAGACAGCGAGGAGGGTTTATGCTCGTCGCACCGCTTGCGGTCGTGTCTGGTGGGAGCAAGCAAAATCTTTGCACCAAAGTTATTTTTGTCACTGTAGAGAAATCTAGGCATCGTTCTTCCCGCACAAGAAGAAAGGTGCGTGAAACTCCTCTTTGCAGCACCAATTTGGTGCAAGCTAAAAATTTGATCTAAGTTTCCGCTAGGCTAGCATCTTATACTTCTACACTAGAGTCTACGGTTACTCAATATGAAGAATGGGTATTGAAACTGTTGACTCCCTCTATTGTGTAGCAAGTGCTGTTAAGAACAGTTAAGGTGAATTTTTAAATTGAGTCTGATTTTTGAGAATTTACATGCTGTGCCATTGGCAACTCCAACCCATTCCCACCTTCCTGGTGTGTAAGAAGGAAAACAATCAGACCCTGACAGTCTACGTCACTGCTTTATATTCAGCTGTCTAACTTTAACAGTGTTAACATACATTCTCTGTGTATAGAGCCCCTGTATTTGCTCAGTGTCACTTTCATCATCAATGCCTTTCACCCCTGGCAGGGTATAGGCCACATACAAACTCCTTCCGAGCTCATTCCAAGTGAGCTTCATCTCTCTCATGTCCCCTTTCCACGCATCTCCTCCATGTTTCTCGTGGCCTCCCCCTGCCAATGTCAATTTGCCCTTGGAAAAATATTAGTTGGGCTAAAGCCTGGAGTACGGCGAACATGAATTTGACAAGATGTTAACTCACTTGCTGCCAGCGCCTTAGCTCAGACTAAGCCGCTGCCTGCAAGCTTTTTTGGACCTTTTTCAGAATCCAGTTACTCTGTACTTATTCATGTTAGATTTATGAAACTTGGCCAGTTTCAGTTGGAGATGTTGAACTTTACAGAATAGAAAGATTATTGATTCTGTGTTATTTTGTTCATCATGTTTTATAGCTTTTCAAAAAATGACAAATTTTGGGGATTAAATCTTTTTTTTTTTTTGGGCCAAACTAGCCAGTACAATATGTTTGCTGTTGTTGTGAGGGTGTTGCTGTTTCTCTCCTAAATTATACACAAATATATATATCAAAGCAAAGAAAGCTAAATTGATAAGCTTATGATGACTAAGGCTACACTATTTCAAGGGTCATCGCTTAAATCTTTAGTCGTCATACTAGACTCTAGTACTAGTATTAGTACTTGCCTACTGCTGTCGACAGGAGATCTACCTCTTTCTCTCATCTCAAACTACCATTATTTCGCACTTCATCATCTGATTCTGAGTCAATTGAATCGTATAGATTCAGAATTTCTAAAATTACGAGCTGTTTTCAATTAAATCGGCATGAGCATCACGTTAGCGTTGTGGTCGACTTCGGCCACCAGACAACAAAACAAAACCCAGAAATTGGACAAAGGGAACTCCGGTTCCAAAAATAGGGGAAACTCACAAATAGCAAAATATTTCGAGCACAGCGTGGGATAAAAATCAGTGACAGCGAATTTCGTTAACCTAAGCTGAGGGCAATAGTGTAGGCCAAGAATGTGTTTATTGTGTACGACGTATCAAAAATCCAAATCTGCAAAATATTTGGGATTCCGAACTGAACTTTATCAACTTTCATTAAAATTAAAAGAAAAACCCTGAAAATATTGAGAATAGTCAGAGGAAATTATTTAAACTTTTCAGAAACAGTAGATCACACAGCAGAATAATTTCTCTTGATGCTGAGCAGTCAGGGCTGTCTGACAGAGGTGAGCATTAGAACCCCATTTTATACCTCCAGCCCCTTTAGACTGCCAACTTCATGCTGACCCCAAGATGGGCGATATTTGAAAATAACGAAGTTTGCCTGTACTTCTTATATTATTAGTGTTTCTTTTGATTGATAGGTATGGGTATTGTTATGTTGTTTTTGGCGATTTTTTTCAGTATTATATAATTTTGAATGTGAGAAAATAACTTCAATGTATTTTTGTTGTTTGTTTTTTTTCAGACAAATCTACCTGTCTTCAAGCTCAAAGAATCAAGTGTACGACGCAGATACAGTGACTTTGAATGGTTACGAAATGAACTGGAAAGGGACAGCAAAGTAAGCAAGATGCTATTTGAAGATTTTGTTACTTTTTAAAATTCTAATTTGTCTAAAGACCGAACAGCTGATTTCAGGAATGACAATAATAAGCACTAAGCACAATATATCCAAACATTTATGCTTTTTCTTTCATTGTCTTTATTTTTTTTTGTCACATAGGGAAAAAAAAGAACAATTCCCTTTGTTCCTTTTGTCATGTTTGTTGAAACTCATATAGTCGGTATCTGACTCCAAGGTATCTCACACCAGGTCCCTAAGTATTTTTCTCCCTGGCAAAGCCGCAGTTTCAAGTAATAAAGAAGAGCATGGGTGTTTGCTTCTCTTCCATCAGTTCCAAGTGAAATGAATCATTTTATGACCGATCAGTTTCTGACACTAACACACGAATGATTGCTATTAGATGGAGTTGTCAATTTGACGGAGCACTTACAAGTGATAAATAACCATTTTAAAAAAATAAGGTTCTGCACTGCGAGTGTGTTTTAACCTCAGTTGAGCCTGAACTATTGTTCATCCAACAACTATTGCAGCCTGACTGTTTTTGGGTATGTTGAATCGTTGCCCACAAAAAGACTGAAAGATATCATAATTTTTTTTAAAGCAACAAAAAAAAACAGAAAAAAATATTCTTATAGAAAAAGAAAACTGCGTCTAATTTGTCCAAATAGTTTTTATTTTATCAGTATTATGAAATGGCAATGTCTGGGAGTGACACAATTATTTTTTTTTGTGTTCAATTCATAATAAAATCATCTATCACAATGTGGGGGTGACTGGCTTAGTCCGTTACAGCTAAAAAAAAGTATTGCACGTTACTTTTTTCTAGTGAAACAAAACAAGTGGGTAAACAGTTGGCTTGCTGCCTACCGTAGCTTGTAACCGAAAAACACCAGAGATGTCAGTTGATAAAGCGCATCCAGTAAATACACGGGATTAGACCATCAGGCCGGCGGCGCGTCCAGTAAATACCCGGAAATAGGCTCAAGTGATACTTTTAAGTTAAAGCAGGTTGTGCTTTTACCCAGCGTACTATTTGCCAGACACCACCATATTATCAAGTTCATTCGTTATGAGTGCATTAAACAACATTTTTACTTTCAATCATGCTTCTATGACCTTATGCAGTTGTGAGCGCCGTAAAACCTGTACTAAAACTAAAATCATGCTTCAAGTAGAATCTGTACTTTTGTGATTTTACTCTTCTCTTGCTCCTCTGTGCTATTGCAATCTTGCTATATTCTGTTTTTCTGAAGCGTAGTATATGTTCAAAGATATCAGTACCCCACCAGGGCAGTGCCACTGACGGTAGTGTTTTTAGGTCATTCCCAAAGGGGGGAACATTTCTCGTTCAAGCATAGTAGAATTGTAAATGGGCTGACTCATGTCACGCTCATAACTGTGCCTGATCTACAACTGGGAACTGCTGCTTTTTCTTTCCTGATCCTTACTATTGTCATTTTCCTCTACTTCTTGTGTATGTTTGTCACTCTCTTGTGACCTGCTATTTCCGGAGTGCCTTGATAGTTGAAGCAGACCTTGTGCTGTTGAAGCTAGAGAGGTGAGCAGTCTAAGTCTGATTCCCTGTAAAGACTTCTCTGTTGACACCCACCCCTTGGCGCTCATATGACCTTATGCATTTCGAGCACGGTAAAACCCTCTACTATAAAAAAAAAAGATATCAGTGATAACCATCCTTTTATTCCACTGGTGTGGCATTTGATATCTGGTCAGGTTATGATTAATTCAATTTACTTCTGTTCTGTTCCCCCTGTACAGATTGTTGTGCCCCCACTGCCAGGAAAAGCATTGAAAAGACAGCTTCCCTTTAGAGGAGACGATGGGATCTTTGAGGATGAATTCATCGAGGATAGACGGAAGGGACTTGAACAGTTTATCAACAAGTAAGGTTCAAATTTTGAATGCGGTCCTTATTTTCCTCATCCTACCAGAAGTATTTGACCTAATACCCAGTGCACACTGCCAATCAAATTCAGTTGAATTGAGTCGGGGTCAGCCAGATTTTTCTTCCACAATGAGGCAAAATCTACAATCATAGCACTACTCGACTGAATTCAATTGTGACCTTCAAAAGCGAACGCAACGTGTTTGTTTTTCTAAGTTGCAAGTCAAACAAGCTTATGTGTACATCGTGCATGCCATGTCGTCTCAATTCCTTGATATTCTAGAGACCTCCCCTGGATGGGGGGAGGGAGGCACTTTGGCCGATAATGTGGTGACACGTGACTGTTTTGTGAAGGATTCCCCGACTGCGGTTAAGAATACAAAAGCGTTGAGGGAGGGCAGAAAGACAGACTCAATGTAATGATATACACCATAAAATGTCGGGAACAGATAGCATAAGAGGAAACTGTTGGTGATAGTCATAGAGATGACAGCCCAGCTATGTGGCTGTCCTAGCGACCACCCCCGACCGCAAATTCATGGACGACATCAGAATCATAGGTCTCTACATTCAGAGAAACATTTCTCTTGTGGTTTAATGAACAAGTAGGTTATAAATTTCCATTTGTCAAACTTTACCCATCAGCGTGTTTTGCGGATCAGAGCTTACTTCTAGATGGAGTGACCGTGCGTTTGTACGTTTAAATTATGTAGTAAAAAACCTGTCATATGACGAAAGTGTGGGTTTGAGCGGAGCGTCCCTTTGTATGGCGTGCGTTTAGGCGGAAACTACTGTAATGTTAGTGTAGATTTGGAGACGCTGAAACTTATATATCTAGAAAGCTATTGACATCTATATACAGTTGAACCTGTGTAAGACTGCCATCCATTGTCAAGAAGAAAAGTGGCCGCATAAGACAGGGGGCCGTCTTAGGCAAGACTGATCAAGATGAAGAAAACAAACCATTCCTTTCTGAGGTCCCAACCGAAGGTAGCCGCATTGTTGTTGTTGTTTTTACAGGGGGGGGGGGGGGGGGTCTTTTTTTTTTCAAGGGTGACAATAAATCGAAATGTGTCAGACAAGGAGGACCAAGTGCTGTGGTAAAACAAACACATGGATCGCCACCACTCGGAGAACGAGCGACACTTCTGTCAAAAGTTCATGTTGACGTCCTTTGTTACTTTGTTACAGACTGGATAAACAGAGACCACTCATCTCGCTTATGATTTGTGTACGAGTTCTGGGCGGGGCTTATGGTTATGAGGGATCACACGCTTACCTCACCAGCAGCTGAAAATTTGTTACCTATTGGTCAACAGTGATCGGTTGGAGGGACTACCTAACTACAACGAAAGGTGATTGGATTATGGCGGCTTGCACACAACGCCAGGGGTCAATGCTCAATTTATGACAAAACGTAATGGAGTCTCTAAGGTGGCCGTCTAAGACAGGTGTTATTGTTTAGTGTGAAAGGGGTTGTGTGTTAAATTATGGTGGCCGCTGGACAGTTGCCAGTTTTACACAGTTAAATTATATAGAAAAAAACACAAGGGGGGAAATGTAAAGTGGCCGTCTTATAGAGGTGGCCGTCAGGGCAGGTTTGACTGTACTAATTAACATTTTTAACTTCACATATTTTAGAAGCGTGTAGCTCAAAAACTACACTTCCAATTAATTTGAAATTTTTACACTTGTCACGTAAGCTGAAAATTTCGGACAGATTCGTTAAGTATTAATCAAGATATTGCGTTTAATATGAGGTGTGAAGTTAAAAATGTTAAAGAGTATATATATATATATTATATTTGTGAAAGATTGTCACTTTGGTCGCTAAAAGCTTCCGAACCGCTTAATTTTCGAACTTGAAAAAATTAACTGTGGTTCAGAATCATTTAAAGGGTGCACTGAATTCACTGTAGTTTAATTTTCAGTTTTTCTTTAGTTTCATTTAGATCTAATCTTAGAAAAAAAACCCACTCCATCTGGTCGCCCAGCCAGGAGAGTGACTGCAACAGACTTTTCGGACCTGGCGTAAAAGTACGCCAGGTGACCAGAACGGATAATTTTCACCTGCACATAATTGCGCCAAGTGCCTGCAAAGTGTTAAAGAAGTTCAGTTGTTTGTTTTTTTCATATTGTGCACTGAAATTGCTGTTAATCATCCCAACTGGATTCAAAATGAGCATTTGATATGAGTTTGGTCATGGAATGAAGAATGAAATGTTCTGTTTTGCATCTGTTAGAAAGGTCAGCCTAAAAAAAAAAAAAATCACCAAGATTACTACATCTTGTGTCATGTTTTTGTAACACTCATTCCTCATTCCCTCATCGCTCAGTTTATTTTTCACTTGACTGTTTTGCACTTCCTGTTTAGACCATTGCTTCTTGTGACCAAACGGTTGTCATGGAGATATTAACTTTTTTTTTTATTCCTGCATGCTGTAAAAGCTTTTTTCATGAAAGCTGCCGAGGCTATCTAGCACGAAGTATGAGACTTTTTCCTGCATATTGCGGCTCAGATTATTTTTAAATGACCTTTTAAAATCTTTGAAAAGCCTACCACATGTTTTGGAAAATACCTTACAATAAAAAGCTCTCAAAAACTTGTTTTGATATGCTTCCCTTAATTGCTTTTAATAACAATATGAGGAGTCTGGCACAAGTAAATAACTATTACTACTTTTCCTTCCGTCTCGAACTCCAAATAGCCTATGACCTAATCTATAAGTTTACTGACGAGATCTGTGGGTGGTTGGCGGGTGCTCTGGTGTGGTTTGCTTCTTCTTTCCTATCAAACATCTATCGTCCTTATCTCCCTTTCTTCTTTTTTATGTTTGTTACTCTCTTGTAACACCTCTAATCTTCTGGTGCTCATATGACCTTATGCAGTTGCGAGCGCCGTAAATCCCTCTACTAAAACAACTGACGAGATCTTCCTTAGACTTTGTGTAGCACAGAGTATGCTGTAGATTTGCAAAGGGTAAGTGTGCTGTTCTTTTTTTTTTCATGGAGACTAAATTATTTGTTTCTCTCAAAGGTGTACCATTCGTACACTTCCCATTCTTGAGCTACAGATATATGCCCCCTCCCACCCGCATGTGGCATTGTTCGCCTTGGCTCCTCATCAAATGTTCACATGCCGCCATGAAGTGTTCTGGTGACCCTCTATAACAATGGGATAATAGCCTTCTGCATAGTATTTAATGAGGTGACAGAAAGCACAGTAGGTTTACTGTGGGAGGAATTTTGCTATTAGCTGTTCAATTTTTTCCAACTTTTTCTTTTCCCAGAGTTGCTGGCCACCCATTAGCCCAGAACGAGAAGTGTTTGCATATGTTCCTGCAAGAACCGGTTATTGACAAAAACTATGTTCCGGGGAAGATCAGGACCACGTGAAAATGCTATGACTGGACCAAAATCATTTGTCATGTGTTATACAAACAACATAATGTCACCTGTTACATGATATAAAGAAGAAGAAAAAAAACACACAAAAAAACCCCCATGGTCTGTATTATCCTTTTGCTTAGAATTATTATTTAAGAATTCATGCTGTGTAAGTGTGTTTGTCGTTTGGTACTTCTAAAAAGGGTAACGTGGACCCTTTCATTGGCCTTGGATTTGTCCATCAATCATGCTTTCATTAGTGACCTAGTAAAATTTGACATTTTAGTTCTGTTGTTCCCTTTGTGATATCTGTGGGCTGGTCGATAACAATAAAAAAGGTTCCACAGACAGCATGTGACTATTTTTATAAGGTAATAAAGTAATATTTTTGTGAATTTGAAGGAAATTCATCTGCATTAGGACTGCAATTTTCAGGGAAATGCAACCATTATCAATTTGGATATTTATCTGGTATATTAACATGGTTTAGTCTTAAGGATGCTTTTGTACTGACAAGGGAAAGTTAAATTTGAGTTTAGAAACTCAGCATATTGGTGATAGTGCCAGTAAGGGTGGTGTTTGTTTTTGTTTTTTGGCAACCATGCATTTTGTATTGTTTCTTTTATATATTTTCTGTTTTGTATGTAATTTAAATGTGAAAATTGTGCTCTGTAAATGAGGAATGACAATGCAATGTCTATTTCACAAGTGTTGTTTTTTTGTTTTTGTTTCTTTTTTGATAATGCTCGTTCCTTATGTGCGCTCATCTATTCTCCAAGCTGTGTAAAAATTACTGAAATACAAGTCACTTGCCATGATTTTGTTTACATACTTGTTTGTTTCTTTTTCTTTAACTTCATCCAAGTTCCTTCTTCACTGGTGCAGTCATTCCTCAGGCTGCAAAAAATTCTGGCTCAAAGTTAATGTGTGGGAGATGGTACGGTGCTTTGTGCCAGAAATCTGAAGTGAGGGGGGTGCCATTTTGTCTGAAATGTCCTTGAGATTATTTAGGAGGAATGCTTCAGACTTGTTTCCTGTTTGGCACTTCACCTTCCCCTTTTTGTTGTTTATATGCTAAGCGGGGCATTTCTTATTGCTGACCAGCCAGTTAGTTTCAGAAATTCTCCGTCTTGTCAATGAGACACCTGAGAAATGCCACCACGCTGCATCATTGTCAGTGACTGTACATCAAAGGAGCTGTTGATGCAGGGTTGCTTTCAAGTTTATTGTGTAACCGGACTATAAAAAGTTTTTGATTCATTCTGTTTTGCTGTGTCTGATTTTTCTGTCAGAATTTCTCTTACGTTTATTTGGCTTTTCTTATTGCTCCTATGCCTCAATCACTGTAGAGGATGATGATTGGAAGATTTGAGTGAACTTGTGGATCAACTTTCGGGGCCCTAACTCTACTTGAAGTAAAGGTCTTTTTGGTGATATGAAAAAAATAGGTGGAGAAGGGAACCGGTCTGTGGTGGAACATTTACTTCGTTTAGTGCCTGAGAGCTTACATGTTATTGTTTCATGGCTTTAACATTTCTGTGTCACCTAAGTTCTTCTTGCTAGGAAATGATCGCACTCTCTTGTGGGGATTGGATGAGCACCAGAGCTGTTTGTAATCCTGTAGCCAAGAGAAAAGATGGTGACAAGGAAAACATGGTTAATATTTTTGTCTGTTGAGAGTAGCTTTAACTTTGAAAAGACTTTTTATAACGAAGTTTAAATTTTTTCTTTTCTCCGGTCTGAAATAGGCTGACTGAAGTACAGTATTCCTTCGATTATTTTGGAAATTACCTTCCAGAACCTTTCACAATGGGGGGAATCTGTGAAGCAGAATAAAAAAGATATATATATTTATTTCTTAATTTATGCGTTCATGGTATCTCCCTGCACTACCATGAACCTCTCCTAGCTTCTTAAAAACCCTTTTTATCCTCAGATTTTGAGAGATCAGTGATATCAAAAAAGATGTTTGCCTATAGTAATTTTACTCCAAATTAAAACTTCCTATACATGGGTTTTCTCTATATTGTTGTTTATAGAGTTTCCATAGATTTCTCATTTCAGCTAGAAAGAACTGGGATATACAAGTCCGTGAAATGTGATCTATATGGCAAGGGAATACTGTAATTCTTTACAATACTAAAACAGACTTTATTCCATGTATAGTCCTAATGCCCAGGTGATGTGGTTTTTATTTTTTTTTCTGTAAAACGTCCTAATATGTATCGATATTTAACTGAAAGAGAAGAATGATGCCTTGGGACCTAAGCCTGGGTTGTGAAAGACTACCATACTCATTTTTATTACAAATGCAGAAAGTCTTTTGGAAAAAGCAAGGGCATGTTTGTCATACTTTTTTAGAGCATTTTCTCGTTTGTTTAGTTGTTTTTTTGGAGCTTTTTTCAAATCGACAGTACAATATGCAATTTTGCATAATCTTATGTTGCCTTTTTATTCCCTTTTCCCCTTCCTATCCTTTTTGTCTTTTAGCAGTCACTTTTGACATGGTCTTGTCAGTGAACTACTGTTGGAGATGCTACCAATCCTTTACATTATTAAGAGCTCTTTGAGTTTATCACATATATAATATATGTATGAAAGTCCTAACCTTCAACTGAACCGTCAAACCTGGTTCCTGTTGGATAATGGTATCAGGCTTTTTCGCAATTTCTTCTTGTGCAGGTCAATGTAGTTACTCTTACAGGTTTTTAAATTTTGTCATAGGAGTGACAAGCATTTAATGTCTTAGATGGAAGTTAAATTCAGAGGTCCCGCCTCTTAAATAACCTTACTGTGTGGCAAGGGGCGGTAAACCTATACAATTTCACACATTGTCTTTTTTGCATGTTGTCTGAGAACCAGAACAATATCAGTTACTGTTTAAGTCTTCTCAACTTCGTTCCTGTTCAAGGGGCGATATGGTCTTGGCTATACACATTTTTATGGATTCATGTAAAACGCAAGAGTCGTGAGATGATTTGTCTTGTAACTATAGAAGTGAATTGTCAAGTTACATATTGCTGGCAACAGTGAGTGTGCACAATGTCTCTAGTGAATTTATGTATACAGCTAAGATATTAAAATATTTAATACCTGATGAAATACCATGGTACCTGTTGCTCGTTTTGTTTTTGTTTGTTTTTTTAATGCCTTCATCCCTTACCCTACAATTTTGTTTTTTATGAGTTTTAGAATGTGCTTGTATTGGGTGGGATTTCATAAAGAAGACGTTAGTTGCAGAACTTCTGAAAGGTGTGTGAACCTTTTGGACACAAACAGAAATGGTAGGAAATGCAAGTTTTCTATTTTGAAATGAAATCAAGTAGCAAGTTTTGAGGGGGAGGGGCAGGGGTTGATTATGGTTGCCCAACATGTGCATGTTGTTTTAGAGCCACTTGTTAGTCTTTTGGAAAGATGATAACATTTTTAATACTCAATTCTTTTTTTTTTCTTCTTTCTGCTCATGCATACTTTTTGTCACACGCACACACACTCAAAATTGATAAATTCAATAAACATATATATTATACTCTCAAAGATATTTCTGTAATATTTTGGTTTTTTCTGTCAAATAGTTCAATGAGAAAAAGTGCTGGTAGCCCAGCCACAGTGGCTCAGTATTGAACATGATCATTGTGTGGAAATTTTGTACTCATGTCAGGATACATAGTGGAATCAGGTGCTCTTCAGTTTTTTAAGCATATGAAGTTATTGGTATCATCCTAAGCATGTTTATTTGTCTTGCTTTTGATTTTAAAAGTAGCCATCTATCTTGAAAAGAAGTCGAAATATTTGTGATTGAATGAGGTGGGGGTCGCCTGGTATCTCAGGTAAAATTATCAAGAAAATGGCTGCCAAAATTTGGTGACTTCCAAAGCTTGAGTATCCCTGGAAACTACAAATTTGCATTTTTTTAGCCTTTGGTCAATGTTTTTCAGGTTAATTCAACCAAAAATGTGCCTTTAATTGGATATAAAAGGTGTTGAGCCCAAAACGAAACAAAATTGATAGAAATTGCACAACTGGAGGAATAATGTTATTTTCTTCGATTTCATTGTTTTGACAAGCACCTGATTTTGCCACGATGCCTACTCATATACATGTAAATTAAGTAAAAATGCTAGTGAATCTCACTGTCAAACGCTTTCTCTCTCTTTCTCTCTCTCTCTCTCTCTCTCTCTCTCTCTCACTCTCTCTCTCTCTATCTCTCTCTCACCACACACACAAACACAAGCACACACTCATAGAGTGTGGGTGGTTGGTGGGTGCTATGGTGTGGTTTGCTTCTCCTTTCCTTTCAAACATCTATCGTCTTTATCTCCCCTCCTTTTTTTTGTGTTTATTACTCTCTTGTAATACCTCTAATCTTCGGCACTTGTATGACCTTATTGTGTTGCAAGTGCAGTAAAACACTTACTAAAATTAAAAACTGATAGAGTGCTGGTAATCCGGCCAATGTAACTCAGTATTGGACTTGGCTAATTTGGGGAAATTTAGTAAAAATGCTTATCCTTCTTTGATATTTGAATGAGTTCCTCTCCGAGTCAGAGGCCTTGTTAAAGTACAAAGTGATTTACCCTTCAAATGTGGACATGCTCACTCGAAACAGGATCCGTCCAGCCTTTGAGCCTGCGTCCCGTGTTGCGACATTAACTTTTTAAAAATACATATTGTTATCATAAAGTGCCAGATCTGAAACAGACATCCGCGATTGTGGTTCTCCATTCATTTCCTCGCTTAGATGTTCTAAAAAAGACTTGCATATACACATGTATAGACATGTATACATGCATATTTAAAATATATTTATTTATACACCTGTCACCCACAACAATATGTTCAAGTTTTCTAAATAAGTTTAAAGGGGTCTGTATCTTTGTGTAATTTCCAATGCAGATCGTGAAATTTCTTGAATATTTTTTGTTTGAGTACAAGGAAAACATGCCGGAATTCTGATTGTCTCTTTTGGAAAAAAGATGTAACACAGTTACAGGACTGGGGTAGGAAAGAGTGGGAACTAACAACCACATTTAGCAGTCATTAATATTTACAGGTGAAGAAATTGGAACACAAGGAATGGATTAGCCAACAGTAATTGGAAATGATTAGCACCAGAACACAATTGAAATTTTCCGTCGCTATTCGGATTTGAACCCTGGACCTATTGAATGAGAGGCGAACACATTTACCTCTTTACCACGAGAGCCCCTCATGGATTTAATTAGGATTAGAAGACAACTGAAGGCAGAAGCAAATGCAAGTAGAACAAGGGGATGAGGAATTCATGAACAGACTGGCAGAGAGGGCAGAGGAGGCAGCAGCAGGAGGGAACATGCGAATCCTTTACCAGACTACAAATACTCTATCTGGAAAATATGGGAAACCAGAAGTAACAACAGTAAAGGACCAGGAGGGAAAAACCATTTTTGGAAAGGAAGCTCAGTCAAGACGATGGGTAGAGCATTTCAACAGTCTCCTGAACAGATCACCACCAAGTAACCCGCCAAACATCCTGCCAGCAAGAAATAAGTTGCCAATCTGCCGTGATGCTCCATCGAAACAAGAAATTATGGATGCCATTAAGAAGCTGAACAACGGTAAAGCGTCCGGTCCTGATCAGATTCCACTTGAGTCCCTAAAAGCAGATGCAAATGTGACGGCAGACCTCCTTCTCCCGTTGTTTACCAGGATCTGGAATGAGAGCAAGTTCCAAAAGGATTAGAAAGAAGGACACCTTGTGAAACTTCCTAAAAAACGGGGATCTCAGCAACTGCAGCAACTACCGAGGAATCACTCTTCTTTCAATATCAAGTAAGGTCTTCAACAAAATCATTCTGGAGAGAATCAAGACTGCAACGGATCCAAGACTTCGGGATGAACAAGCTGGTTTTCGGACAAATCGGTCAACCACGGACCAGATTGTCACGCTGAGGATCATTGTGGAACAGTCCCTTGAGTGGAACTCCCAGTTCATCGTCAACTTTCTTGACTATGAGAAGGCCTTTGTCAGTATAGACCGAGCAACACTGTGGAAGATACTGAGACATCACGGAATCCCACAGAAGTTGGTGAACCTCATCAGGAGCATGTGCGAAGGGACAAGTTGCAGGGTTGTACATGATGGTCCGCTCACTGACAGCTTTGACATCAAGTCCGGTTTGAGACAGGGATGTTTATGATAAACTTTTCTCTTCTATCTTGGGAATCGACTAGCTGATGAAGGAAACCACCAGATGACACAGAAACGGCTTACAGTTAACCCCATGGACACAGTTGAACGATCTGGATTTTGCGGATGACTTGGCGCTTCTGTCACACGCTCAGGAAGAGATGCAAGCAAAGACCACAATTTTAAACTGCCTATCAAAGTCTGTTGGATTGAGGATCCACCCTGGAAAGTCAAAAGTCCTAAGGATAGAATGCACTAAGAAAGGAGCAGGTCACAGTAGAGGGAAATGCACTAGAAGACGTTTCTGCTATCTTGGGTGTATAATTGACAGAGAGGGAGGAACAGGCGCTGAAATAAAGTCCCGTGTTGGAAAGGCACAGACTGCATTTATTTCTTTGAACAGGATTTGGAGGATCAGGGATATCTCACTACGACGAACAAAACTGAGGATTTTCAACTCAAATGTGAAGTCAGTCCTGTTGTATGGAAATGGAATTAAACATGGAACGCATCTCAGACGTGCTTTAAGAGGATCCAGGTTTTCTTGAACAAGTGTCTGACTCCGAGGAAGCTACTGAGGATCACCAACGAGGAAGTACATGTATTAGTATTAAGAAGAACGAGGCAGAGCCTAGTCGGAGATGAAGTGGGATGAAGGCGTTGGCGATGGATTGGACTCAATTTCGCTAAATCAAACAGCTGCTTAAAAAGGAAAGTGTTAGATTGGAACCCACAGGGTAAAGGATCAAGGGGTAGACCACGTGGAACCTGGAGAAGAGTCACGGAAATGAATATACAGAAAAATGGGAAGACATGGAGTGAGGTCAAGCGACTCGCTCAGGATAGGGAAAGGTGGAAAGTGTTTGAGTTTGTTCGTGGTCTATATCCTGATCCAGGGCGAAAATGGCAATGATGATGAACCTTTGCAGGTACAAAACAATATTAGCATATTTCAAATAAATGGGTGTCTCGAGCGGACAGAAGAAAGTATCCTTTTAACGGAATCAAACTTTTCATTGTAGTCTAGCTAGGTAAATACATGTATTAAAGATTGAAAGACAAACTGAATACATTTATGTGCAGTCAAACTTGCTGTAACGACCACCTGTTCAAGACAGTCATCTGTACAAACGACCACTTCCCACCCCCACCCCCTCCTTATTACAGTGACATTGTCCAAGAGGATCATCTGTCTCAGATGACGACTTTTTTTACTTTCGACAATTGGTGGTTGTATTGGACAGGTTCGGTGATTATAATGTACCTTCGTAACAACGGGCATTTAAAGCAAGTCTTGAGTATATAGCCAGCCCACGCAATACACGTGATGAATACCATCCTCCATCTTAAATGTCCGTGTTTTACGCCCCTATCAACACAGTGTAGATCATTTAGGAGGCGGGCTTCAGACTACGCCTGTCAGGGCAGATCCGGGCTTAGAGGGATACTCGATAAAAAGTTCTCCCCACTTGGGAAGGGAATTCGTGTCTCCTGTGTTCAAAAGCGAAGCGCGTAGTCACTACACCTCAGACGCCGGCTATCCTTTCGCGAGATGTTTAAACTACGAAGATAATGAAGAGAAGTAGGCCTACAGAATAATATTTTTAAAAACAAAAATTCAACTTTTTTTCTGAATATCTCGCACAAAATTTGTACTAGAATGTTGTAATTTGGAACCGATATAATTCATTCAATAGGAATTTGTTTGAAATAAAATTCACAGAGAAGAAATTTATTTTCGAAAACGGAATTGGCTTTTATAAAAAAAACCACCTGTAAATGCAAAATACACCAATTAAAAAGATCTTGTAAGGAAAGTCATGAAATGATTGGTTTGTTTTTTCCTTTCCTTTTATTTTTAAAATCTTATCTTTTCCATCCCTGTAATCTTTAGACAATATTTCTTTTCTCCCTCAGAGTTAAAAAAATGGGGGGGGGGGGGGGGGGGG